TTTGAGATTTTAATTATCCGACAATAAAAGAAATTCAAAGAATCAAAAGCACCAAGTCAAGAACAAAAACATCAACTTTGTAAACGGGACTCCTATGAATTACTTATAAATATGCGAGTAGATACAATGAACCCATGTAACAGACAAAATGGTGCCAACATTGATAAAATATAGGATCGTTTGTTTTTCTTAAAATGTATTCCTAAAGAAACTTGGATGAGGATGCGAGAAAATATCCCGCATTCACGTAGGGTGGTCCGAGTAAGAGCCATATTTTTTAGGGTGTGATGTGGACAATTTACCCTAATACAAATATTAGTGACTGCATTCACGGCTCGAGTTTGTAATCTATAGGACAGATGCAGACAACTTTACCGTTGTTTTGAAACTTCTTTCGCAGGGAAAACTATCTTGGTTTATGCTTTTTAGTTTTTGACTTTAAAAACTTAATTTGAGGTTGGAAAAAAAAGAGAAGAAATTTGATAGATACTGAATTTTTTTTAATGGATACTGACCATTATTGACGAATACATAAATGCATCCATTTCTACTAGACATAATATTTAGAAATTTTTGTTCACAAGCAATTGCTAGAAGCACATGATATGAACCACTATGATTAAAGCCCTCAACTAAAACATGCAAGTACAACTAATTAACAGGGTGGATGTCATGTCAAACTTTTAATTCAACAAAATAGAAAGTTAACAAGAAGAAAAGTAGGAGATGCATGATTGAGTACACTCATTAATTGATCTGGTCCAGTGTCTTATTGTTTCAAATAAAACAAATGACAATCTTTTCCGCCATTATTTTGCGAAGTTGACACAACGTTTCAGTGTCCAAATTTTGGTGCATACCTCAATTAATTGATGTACAAATCTAGGACTCAATTCTTTTAAGACAGAGATGCATAAACAAACAAAACATTATATATCATGTCCCAGCCGATCCACATGTTATTCCAGAAGAAAGGGGCATTGCTTATTTTGGCATAGTACTGTTGCATTTTTTGTCATTGCCTATTTCCGTAAATTAAAAAAAGGTGCTTATATAATTAATTAATTAATTAATAGAATTTGAATGTAAGAATCACCAATAATTAGGGTCACTCATAATATTAGAGGACTACCTCCACCTTTTAGGTGGGTCCGATTTCCCCTTTTGATTGGAATAGTGGTCCAATCCCATACAAATTCTAATTAGTCGAATCATAAGGCTTCAAAATAGATTAGCGGACCATAATTGGGAAGGATAGCCATCAGATACGTGCACCTTTTACATTTGTTTGGATTGTTACATATTGTTTCATAATATATCATATAATATTGTATAGTACTGTATCACTTTGGTGTATACAATGTTTGGATAGATTGTATTGCTTTCTGTCGTTTCATGATGTCATGCACCAAATAATATTAAAAATAAACTTGTAATATTTAAAAAAAGGAGTAAGGTACGAGGTAGAATTATTATATAAAAAGATAGGATAAAGGATAAAATAAGATTATTTTTTAATATGGAAGGGTAAGATGAGAGGAAAAAAATAAGGAACGACGTTACCACGCCAAATCGGTCGTTTCATAAAGTGCGCTTTTCGTCGTTTCGAAACGATAGATGTAACAATATGATACAATACAATAGGTAACAACCATTCAAACAAGTTGTTAGTCCAAACCTCCCTAGAATCACACACTCACACATCCATTAGGTTGGAGATAAGCTCCTCCTCTCCCCCCCCCCCCAAAAAAAAATAAAGGGAAAGAAAACCCCATAAATACATTCTCATTTCTTAACAATTCTCACTTACATTATGGAGTACGAGGACAAAGCATGAGAGTAAATTGAGATGTGGTTTATATTGCCCTTATCTATCTCATTTTCTTTACCAATTTTTCAAGAACCACACTATCTTTACGGATTAGGGTGTGTGCGCTTTGACTCCTGAAACCATGATGTCAGATTCAAGGTTTACCAAGAAAAGTCCAATGGGCTTTGAGAACTTCTGATGACATTGGTGTATTTCTCAACCAGCCCAAAGTGGAACCGCTATATTGTTCAGCCTTTTAGTCTTATTTCATTGGGCTGAAATTGTAAAAATTGCGCGGGGCGCCTATTTGGTCGCCCGATTTAATCTGTACCCACTTTTTAAAAATTCTTTAACTTGTACCCAAAGTTTAAACAACTTCAAGCCTTTTTCTCCTCTTTCTTCTTCTTCTTCTTCGGGTGATAGTGATTTTATATGGTGTTTGTGAACATATTTTAAGGTAGTTTACGACATTTTACAGCGATGAACTATTGTGGCGCTTTATTTTTTTACTATTGCTTAGAGTTTCTTTTTCTTCTTTTTCTTAATTGCAAAATGGGTTCGTTAGATTTATTGTTGTTTTGGCAAATTGATGATTGAGGTTTGTTCTTGATAATATGTGGAGGTTATGTTTCAAGTTTGAGCTCATTTGGAGTAGATTAAGGTATTAAATCGTATATTGAATTGTTAAAATTCGAAGAACGAGTTTCTGTTTCTGGGCAATTTGCACTTCAGGCCTATTTGGCCTTAAGTGCATGAAAACGTTGGTCGCACTTCAGACCTTTTGGTCTTAAGTGCAATTTTTATCTTCAGACTTATTGGCCTTAAGTGTAGTGACGAGCGCAAAACACATACTTAAATATACTCGCTAGTCGAATATAGTATAATATAATATCGTATCCACAGGGTTTGGAGTTAAACAATATTATCGTAGTTTGTAGCTAGATTGCTATCCAAGATGATCAACAATTTAGATTAATGTGGTTAATACTAAAATTAATTAAGAATCTATAGCTAATTGACTAATGACAATCGAAACAAGGACTAAGCAAATGAAGATATCAATGGGAGAAAATGGAGTTTTGATAGGATAGGTGCAAGATAATTGTCAGGGATTTAACTCTAGATAATTCACTTCTAATGTTCAAGTGAGTCTCTCGAATTCACTTAATTATCAGTACAATTATTTAGTAGAAACTCCTCTCTCGATTAAGTCTCAACCTCTCAATATGAACCAATTTAAGCTATGTGAAGATATGCAAGAATGCGTAATGGATTGGTCTTTAGGAGAATCCCTCTCGATTATCTTCCTAACTAGGTTTAGTCAATGATTCAACTAGCCTCTTTCGATTACTTAGAAGAATCTATGAACTCAACCAACAATATAACGCAAAGATATCACAAGTTATACCTCTTTCGATTATAAGAACAAGTGAATATAGATACAACAATTAAATCTTCTAAAAATGATTCAAATATATAAAAATAGAGTTATAATCCACAAACAATCATCAATGCATCAAATCCATCAAAACTCAAAAGGATCTACTCCATAGACATGGAGAAGTTCTTCACAAATGTAACTAAAGTATAGGAAAACATAAATTCAATCCAAAATCGGATCTTGAGTGAGGAAGGAATGATGAAATCCTTGTGCTTGTATTCTTCCAACTCCTCCTTAGCCTCCTTGGCCTCCTTAGGTCGAAATTATATCAAAAGTCCATCTAAAATGGTCTTTTGGTGTATTTAAGCCGCCCCAAAATAAACCCCGGACGAAACTACCCTTTTTAGCAGAAATGGGAAGTCACTCTAACATTTTTGTGCTACCGCGCCGCACCATGCGGCGCACATGTAGGGAATTCCAGAACGTGCCAAAAAATCATTTTTAGCCACTTTTTGCACTGCCGTACCGCGCCTCGCGGCGCCCCATGCGGCGTGCCTGTGCAAATTTTACAGATTATTGATTTTTTTCTACTTTGCAGGAAAATTGCACTAGCGCTATGAGGCCCGCGGGGCGTAGTGCAATTTTCTCAGAGTGAATTCGTTTTCTCATTTTTTGATGTCCAGACTTGGTTTTCGACGCCCGAACGTGATCCCGATTTAATTGCTTGGGCTTCTATTCAGAATTCAAAGTTTCAAATAGCTCGAATTAGCACCACAACATCTATATAACTCGGAAATTACTCCTACATGGCATAAAACTTATGGTAGGCTATAATCCCGTATTTTAGTCGCTTATTGCACTTTAATTCACTACACTTTACTTATGTTGAGCTTTAATTAGTAGTGTTTTGCACTTATTATATATTTTATACCGTTGACGAGCGCAAAGCACACACTTAAATTATACTCGCTAGTCAAAGATAGTATAGTATAATATCGTGTCCACAAGGATTGGATTTAAACAGTATTATCGTAGTTTGTAGCTAGATTGCTATCTAGGAGGATCAACAATTGAGATTTAAATAATTAATAATCTAAAATCTACAGCTATTGACTAATGAATATCGCAACAAAGGCAAGTAAGGAAGTTTATCAGTGGGAGAGGATAGGTATTGACGGAATAAGTGCAAGATAATTATTCGGGATCTAACTCTAGATAATTCACTTCCAACGTTCAAGTGAGTCTCTCGAATTCACTTAATTATCAGTACAAATATTTAGTAGAAACTCCTCTCTCGATTAAGTCTCAACCTCACAATATGAACCAATTTAAGCTCTATGAAGATATGCAAGAATGCGTAGTAGATCGGTCTTTAGGAAAACCTCTTTCAATTATTCTCCTAACTAGATTTAATCAATGATTCAACTAGCCTCTTTCGATTACTTCGAAGAATCTATGAACTTAACCAACAATATAATTCAAAGATATCACAAGTTATGCCTCTTTCGATTACAAGAACAAGTGAATATAGATGCAATAATTAAATCTTCCAAAAACGATTCAAATACATAAAAATAGAGTTATAATCCACAAACAATCATCAATACACCAAATCCATCAAAACCCAAAAAGATCTACTCCATAGATATGGAGAAGTTCTTCACAAATGTAAATAAAGTATAGGAAAATATAAATTCAATCCAAACCCGGATCTTGAGTGAGGAAGGAATGATGAAATCCTTGTGCTTGTGTTCTTCCAACTCCTCCTTAGCCTCCTTAGGGCGAAATCTGTCCAAAAGTCCCTCTAAAATGGTGTTTTGGGTAATTAAGCTGCCCCCAAAACAAACCCCGGACGAAACTACTCTTTTTAGCGGAAATGGAAAGTCACTCTAACATTTTTGTGCTACCGCGTCGCCCCCCCGCGCCGCGCCATTCGGAGCTCCTGTAGAGAATTCTAGAACACTTTGAAATATCAATTCTGGCCACATTTTGCACTGCCGCGCCGCGCCTTGCGGCGCCCCATGCGGCGCGGCTGTGGACAAAAGTAAAGGGCTGTTCGTTTTTGGCCTAAAGAAAAGTGTGACATCACGTTATTGTGCCCTTTTGTATTTGTTTGAATTGCTCAAAAGTTTGGCATGTTGGCAGACATAAAGTATCTTGCTAACTTTTAATTTGCAAGTCATTATTACCTCCACTCATGTTTTCTATTCTTATTTCTTTTACTTTTTAAATACATACTCAATCATCGGCCCTGGACTCGATCCCGACTTAATTGCTTGGGGTTCTACTCAGACTTCAAGTTCCAAATAGCTCGAATTAGCTCCACAATATCTACATAACTCGGAATCACTCCTACAAAGCATAAAACACACAATAAGTACAAAAACACTACTAATTAAAGCTCAACATAAGTAAAGTGCTGTGAATTAGAGTGCAATAAGCGACTAAAATACATGATTATAGCCTACCATCAATGGTAGGTACGGGGTAGGTATCTTGGTTTATAAGGACCTCCGTTAACTAGTGGTGAAGGTTAGGAGGGTGAATGACAGGCTGACGACTATTAAGATAGTTGTTGGAGGTTTTACTTTGAACATAATCAGTGCATATGCACCCCAAGCAGGCTTGGATGAGGAAGGCAAGAGACGTTTCTGGGAGGATTTGGATGTGATGGTGCGTGGTATCCTGCATACCGAGAAGCTTTTCATAGGAGGAGATTTCAACGGCCACATTGGAGCGTCGTCTGGGGGGTATGATGATGTGCATGATGGCTTTGGTTTTGGAGATAGAAATGAAGGAGGAACATCTGTGCTGGACTTTGCTATAGTATTTGATTTGGTGAAAGCAAACTCGAGTTTTCCCGAGAAGATAGAGCACTTGGTCATCTTCCGGAGTTCGATAGCCGAGACTCAGATTGATTATCTACTCTACAGGAAGTCCGATAGAGGTCTTTGCATGGATTGCAAGGTCATCCCGAGTGAGAACTCTCGATCCTTCATAGGCTCTTGGTCATGGACCTTGAGATCACGAGGAAGAGGAGAGGGAAGTGTATAGCCAACATAGGACCAAGTGGGGAGCCTTGACGGAAGCTAAAACGCAGGAGTTGGGGGTCAAGCTACTGATTGTGGGGGATTGGAGGAGTAGTGGGGACGCAAGCGCTATGTGGACCACGACTGCGTAGTGCATTAGGGAAACCGCAAGAGAGGTTTTAGGGGTCTCAAAGGGTTACTCTGGTAGTCACAAGGGAGACTGGTGGTGGAATGAAGAGGTGGAAGGAAAAGTGGAAACCAAGAAAGCGGCGTATCTGAAGCTAGTGGAAAGTGTAGACGAGGAGGAGAAAAGGGCGAATAGGGAGCAATATAAGTTGGATAAGAAGGAGACGAAGTTAGCAGTTACGGCGGCCAAGACTGTAACCTTTAGTCATTTGTATGAGGAACTTGAGGGCCGAGGTATGGACAAGAGGTTGTTCAGGTTAGCCAAGGCACGATAAAGGAAGGCTTGTGACTTTGGACCAAGTGAAGCGTATCAAGGACGAAGAAGGTAGTTATTGGATGAGGGGTTTATCCGTCGGAGATGGAAGACCTACTTCCATAGTCTCTTGAACAAAGAGGGTGACAAGAGCATTGTACTGGGTGATTTGGAACTCTCCGAAAGTTGTTGTGACTTAGGGTATTGTAGGCGGATTAGAGTTGATGAGGTTAAGGGGGATATGCATAAGATGAGCAGGGGCAAAACGACCAGGCCGGATGACATCCCGGTGGAGTTTTGGAAGAGTGCGGGCAAGGTGGACTTGGAGTGGAGGTGGAGAACAATGGTTCATGTATACATGAACAAGGGCGATATCCAAAATTGCAATTACTATCGGGGTATCAAGCTGCTTAGCTATACTATGAAAGTCTGGGAGAGAGTGGTAGAGCTAAGGGTGAGGATGAGTGTGTATTTTTTCCAGAACCAGTTCAGTTTTATGCCCGGGCATTAGACTACAGAAGCCATCCACATTGTTAGGAGATTGATAGAGCAGTACAGGGATAGGAAGAATGACTCGTGTAAGGTGTTCATCGACTTAGAAAAAACGTATGATAAAGTTCCAACGGAGGTTTTGTGGAGATGTTTGGAGGCTAGAGGTGTATTGCCTACGTTAGGGTGATTAAGGACATATATGATGGAGCAAAGACTCGAGTGAGGATGGTGGGTGGGGGCTCAAACCATTTTTCGGCCATGATGGGGTTGCATCAGGGGTCAGCACTCAACCCTTTTTTGTTTGCCCTGGCGATGGACGTACTGACGCATCACATCCAAGGGGAGGTGCCGTGGTACATGCTATTTGCAGATGATATTATATTGATTGACGAGATACGAGGCGGTATGAACGTGCAGCTAGAGGTGTGGAGGCAGACCCTGAAGTCTAAAAGTTTCAAGTTGAGTAAGACCAAGACAAAATACTTAGAGTGTAAGTTCAGTAGTGAGGCTCGGGGGGAGGGGG